ATAATTTTATGTGCTGATTTTTTTTCTAAATCTTTCAGCTTTTGCTTCAGCATATTAACTTCTCTCTCCAACTTTCCCACTCTTTTCTTCCACTAAAAAGAATGATTGTGTGGAATAATGGGTGCACAAAAAAAAATATTTTTATATTGAATTAATGTTTGCAATATTGAACACTAAATATTAATTTATTGAAATAAATACTCTTATGTTATCATTTTCTTTATCATCATCTTCCTCATTTATACTAATGCTAAGTAAATAAAAAAACAAAGTTTATAATTTACAAGAATAGCTCTAAGCTCATATATATATTGAAGATGAGTTGCATGACCACCACCATTCTTTTAATGATAACTAGAGTGATGACAACAAGTGGTGACAACCACCACCACCCTTATAATAAACACTTATTCTTTCACCTTTCCTTTATTTTTTTCTTGTTTTCTTTGTTTGAGAGGCATTGATAAAAAATTTATTTTTCAAGAAAAAGAAAAAAGACATGTTAAAAAAGAATTTGTTGATTGATTGACAAAACTAATTATTTATTATTGGCACTTGGTGTTGTATATGAATTCCCTATTGCTAGGGTGTCCAGAATTATGCTTTCGCATAATTGGAGCATAATTCTTTGGCATAAACACACATTGAGCATAATTAGACATTTTTTATAAAGCATAATAATTTGCTTTTATATAAGTGATCAGCAAAATTTCCTCTCAAAAAAAATTATATATCTATATTAATGACAAAATGGTGCTTACTGCATCAGACATATCAGAAAAAAAGCCACTATGTTAATGGAAGAAAATTATTTTGTTGTTTTTGCAGCCATACTATAAATCATAAAAAAAGATCCATGTTGATAAACATTTAAATTATCATTAGAAAATTTAAAAACATGTTAAGTATCATCCAGCAGTTCCCTTGTTTAAATAAATCAGGTGTTTTGACCCTTGTTATATTTAAAGACTAGTGCTGTAAATTATGATGATGGTAGTAATTGTATTTACGGCATATAAAAAGTGGTTGCAATTACCTTTGCGACCACTTTTGCAACCATACTTTTTCCTTTTTTGGATTACGGCACTAGTCTTTAGTTATATTCAATAAAATTCAAATAATCATCATCAAAGAATTCAATGACTATACAAATGATCTTATATATGAATGGGAAACCTATGAGAATTTTGATGATTTAGATAGTTTATTGGAGTCAAAAAACAAATATATTACCAACATCAAGTTCAATGCATTAAAATATATTTGGTTGCTTATATCTGGTGCATACATGTCAGCCAAAATATTTTTGTTAGTAAATTGCCAAATTCAAAATACCAAAATAGTTTTTCATAGTGGCCAAATTAATTTTAATAGTGGCCAAAACTAATTTAATCATACCAGTTAAACTCTTTTCTCTTTCAAAAGGACAGAAATTACAATGTCATTTATCTCCCCTCCTCAGCTTATTAACTTGGTATTCTAATTTCATGCTATTTATTCTTTTGCAAGATATAGGTTTCAAATTTTCTTGAGTTATTACTTTTACTTGGCTAACTTTGTTCTTTACTTTGTTAGTTAGGTAAAACTGGTGGTGCTTGTCTGCCAAATATTTCTGTCATGCCACAATATTTTCTAGAACTTCTATTTTTCTTGAAGCTTTTTCTAAGTTGTCATCTTTTTCTTTGCTTTGCCTTACTCTCCATTGTCTAACCACTTTGAGAGCCTCTAAATGACATTCAGAAATGTTCTCCTCTAATCCTAATGATTCTTCTAACTCTTTTATTTCTTCGTCTAATTCCTTAATTTGTTGGTCTTTACTTTTTTCCAACTCTTCTAATTTCTTCTCAAACTCTCCTTTGCTCAGTAAGTTGATAACCTCTTTTACTTCAATTTGAAATATAACTAGAACAACTTGTAGCTAATTCTTTTGAACTATCAATAAACTCCATTAACATTTCTTCAATTGTGATGTTGTCAAATCAAATTCTTTTGCAATTTTTGGCTCATTCCCTTGTTTCATTAGGATCTGCTGCCATTCTAAGTTTACCTTCATCCATTCATTTCTTGTTTAGTTTCTTATATCATCAATGACCAGGGACATAACTATTTTCATCAGGTTGACCAGTAAGGTGTCAAATTTTTAATTTAAGTTCTTCTATTGATTGTTCTCTTTCTTGATCTTTATCAGCTAACTGCTTTTCTAAATCAGCAATTTTGTTTAATAGTTCTTTATTTGCTTGTTGTTGTTCATTTATTATGATTTTCATGATTTACTTGCTTGTTCCTTTTATTTATTCTTTTAATATACTTATATCCTTTTTATGAGGGCATGTTAAGTATATAAATTATTTTAGTATTTTTTTACTTAGCGAATTCTTTGAGCTTTCAATAAGTTTGCTCTTTGACTTAAAAGTGGAAAAGGTTAACAATATTTGTCAAAAGATTAAACTTAATGACAGTAAGGGGACAAATTAACAAGCAGTGAAGTTATTTTATTCTAAATATTTTATTCATTTCCAGTATAGATTGGTCTTGGGCAAGTAATGTCTTTGAATTTATCTCTAACAAATGGACACTGCCTGGAAGAAAGTATCAAACCTCGTTTTTTATTAATTCCGCAAACTTTTACATAATAAAAAAATATATTGAAAATATCATCATGTAGCTTAGGTTCTAATGAATGTGTATGCAATATTTCATGATTCTGTTATTAACCAAAAAAAAAAAACGAACTTCAATTAATATAAAAAATGATCATCAAAAATTTCTAAAAACCAAAATTTTATTAAACATAACCTAATAAAAAATTTAATATTCTGTGGGCCATCCATTATTAGATATGCATGCCTCAATCCTCCTTGACATGCTTTCAATCAGTTTATTATAAACTTCTTCAGAAATATTAGACCACTCCTCTTGCAAAGCAATCTTCTAATTCTTGAGAATTCTTGGGATGGATTTCACGTTTTTTTAATCATCTTTCTAATTCATCCCAAAGATGTTCTATTGGATTAATATCAGGAGATTGAGATGGCCAATTGGATAAGATTTTTATATTATTATTATTTATCCAATTTTGCACATTTTTTGCTGTGTGCACTGGTGCATTGTCATCCTGAAATTTGTATCCCTACAATTAAATTTTGTTTTTATTAATGGCAGCAAATTTCTTTTAGAATTTTAATGTAATCTTGATTGTTCATCTTCCTTTCTACTTTAACAAGAGGGCCCAATCCTTTTCCAGAAAAACACCCCCACACCATTATCCCGCCACCATCATGTTTGACAGAAGGCCTCATGTTCTCAATTTTGTAATACTCCCCGCCAAACACAAGTTGGACCATCACTTCCAAAAATTTTGAAGCGAGATTCATCACTCCAAATAACAGATTTCCATTGTCTGATTGTCCAAATTCTTCTATCTAAACACCCTTTTAACAGGTTTTCTCTTGTTGATCTGTTAATAGAGGTTTCACTGCGGCAACCCTGGACTGGATCCCAAGTTCATGCAAATTTTTGTGAATTGTTTTAAGTGACACTTCAACATCACTGACACCAACAAATTTTCTTCGAATCTCCTCTGCAGAACTGCGATTATTTTTTAATGCAATTTCTCTGAGTTTTTTCTTCACTAACATTTAATGTACAGGGATGTCCACTTCTTGGTGCACTTCTTAGGCTTTCAGCATTTTCATAACGTTTAATGGTATCAAACTGTAGTTTTTGGAAGCTTAAGTATCTTTACAATTTTATTAAGTCTACTACCACCTAATCTAAGACCCAAAATTTTTCCATGCTCAGCTTCAGTTAATTCGGGATTTTTGGGCATTTTTAAAATTTTTTTTTGATTAATCAATTTTATTATCATCAGATTATTTTTAATAACAAATTTTCTACCAATGACAGGAGAATAATTTTTTTCATAATTATATCTTAGAACTTAAGGAGAGAACTGATTGCTCCTTACCCAAAATTATAAATTGGTTAGTATCAAAGGAACAGAGAATTTAGGGAAATAATTATCCAAAACAAACACTATTTTACAACTTTCCTCCTAACAGCAGAGCCCAAACACAATTTCAGGGTCACAGATCCATCCTTACCTCAGAGATAGGATCATTGCAGTCAACTTCGGCCAACATGGTAGCAGCCTTCTCTGGTGAGGAAATATTAGTGAAAAGTATCCTTAACGATTGATGCAATTTCAATAAATTTCTGAGCCACGCATTACCTCCGAAAATTTAATTGCATCGTTTTATCATTGATCAATCAGGTCAGATTAGCCTTATATGCACGAGAAATGTGAAAGAATGACTGTAAGTGTTTAAGGTACCATGTGTGCTTCAACACTTGTAAATTTCCGATAATCAAACATTACACATCGAAATTTTTCTTCTTGAAATGTTTCTTTTTCAACATTTATGTTGCCTTGACAACTTGTAATAAATTATAATATTATTAATGTTGATTCCGAAAAGCAAAACGATCCAATCGTTTATCATGATAAGAATATTGTAATAAATACCTAGAGACACGACAAGTTCTGCTCCATGTCTTGATTTTAACAAGACATTTTATTAAGTAAAGAATCAATACATATATACATCAATATTTATAAAAACAATTAAAAAAATCAATACAATGCAATAAAAAATAATGTACCTCTTGTCATCAATAAATAATGCTTTCTCTTTAGGAGAACCATACCATACCAAACAACATTTACGCTTTCCCATCTTGTAAAGATACATCAGGAAATTTTCCCCGCCGTAATAATACATCCATAAATTTTAATATGTAAATTTGTAATCTTTGCATAAAAAAATTATGTAATATTTACATTCAATGTAATAATCGCATAATTTTTGTATGCTTATTTGCATAATATTACAGGGTCCGCCATAAACTTATGTAAATAGTGCAATAATTACATAAATCTGCATCAGAAAAATTTCTTGATGTATACACACGTAATAATAATAATTAGTTGTTGTCAAACAATGACAAATAATTTTTCTCCTGTAAACCTCTTGACAAAACTTTTTATTTTCAAAACTTAATTGGAATTTTATTTTATTACCCAAAAACAATTATCATATTCACCATCTCACCTCACTTTTAAGCTGTCTCATACTCACCCATTTGTCCTAAAATTTCTCTTTGTTTAACCAATAATCCTTGCAAGTATTTATCATAAGAATAGCGGTGGTTATGATCATGGAAGAAAGTATCAAGTTGGATTTCTTGAGGTAGCAGGTAATGCCTTTGACAAAGATATAACTAATAGAAATATTGACTCGAAGAAATTATATAAAGGTATGCCTGACATTCTTTTATTTTTCATCATTTATTTTAAACCATTCATTAATTTGTTATATTTTTGATGAATTGTAGCTATGGCATTATCATTATGGGATCAATAAATATGCACATCTATATAAGAAGATTTGGTGAAAAAATTACAAGCTATTGCAATGTTAGTCCATGGTAAGTAAGTCCATGTACAGGCTTTGCATTTACTATATTAGATTGAGGAATTAATGATTGATTTAATCATTTTTGAATAGGAAGAGTTTTTAGCTTCTTAAGCATGCATTGCATCAACAATAAGTTTGTGGTTAAAAATTATGATGACTTTATATTGCCAACAACTAAGGTTTCTGGCCGAAATTGCCCAAATACTTTGGGCAAAAATTATTTTTTTATAAGCCCAAACTACTGAGAAGCCCAAATTGCCCAAACTAGTTTGGGCTTTGAGAAAACAGTTTGGACCAGAAACCTTACCAACAACAAGTGAGTGTCTGTCAAGAATACCAAAAATAATAGAAACAATCATAAAGTTCAAGGTAATATTTTGATATATTTAATGCAAAATTTTATTCATTGCTCACTTATTATATTCTCACATAGATAAGAGTTATGAAATATCAACGGGAACCTCTTATTGTTCGGTCACCAATTGATAGCCCACCTGATATTTTACCACCACCAAAAAAAAGGAAATAGATTTCATAATAATAGGTTGTAAAAATTGTCAATGCTCTTTATTCTAATTTTGTTATCCATGATAATTCAAACAAAAAAATTGATAATTAATTTTTTGTAAAAATTTATGAGAAAAAATAGCATAAAGATTTTATAATAATAATAAAATTACATTGGTTACTAAAGCAATCATTACAAAAATTTATTTGTTAATGTCAATTCTCTTTAAATGTACACCCTGAAATTCTTGGTAGTATAAATGTTCACTTTGTCTGGTTTTGTTTAATTAATATAATTAATATGCACAAATATTTCCATTACGCATAGTGGAAATTCTATATATTTATGTCACAATTTGATGGTCACTGTGATAAATTTAATTTATGATGTATGATGTAAGTTCGTAATTGTTTAAAGTACTCTAAAAATACATGTTGTCTTGGGTAACACTGTTCATTAAACAACTATTTTTTAAAAAAATAATGCAATTATTATCTTTTCTTTACACACTTTCATTTAAAGATTTGGGATATGCTTGGATGCAAAGGTTACATATGAAGCAAAAACTTGCATAATTTTTAGTCAAATAAACAGAATTCAATATAAAATACACAGTGTATCTCGGTTTAACGGATTTCGATTTAGCGGATTTAGAGGTTTAACGGATAAATTTTCAAAAACCAAATTCTTCTATAATTATTTTATCTCGATTTAACGGATTTAACGAATTTTTCATATATATTCGATTTAGTGTATTTTTTTTAAAAAATCTATATGTTCGACCATAATAAAAATATCTCAATACGACGGATAATGTTGATCATTAACTAATACAGGCACCAGACATAATTAATGATGAAATTCGAATTTATTCTAAATTGGAAAATAAAACGTATGATGTAAATTTTTTGATAGATTTGTAATAAACTAGAAATATCTCTTCATAACCAAACAGATCAAAATTATTGATATAATAATGATATCAGGAAGTTTCTCTGATGTAATATAATATGATGTCTCAGTTTCCTAATGATTTGTAATATTTGATGTTTTTATTTAAGAAATTGAAAGTGTCTTTATAACCAAATAGTTATAATAAACATAACATCAGGAACTTTTTGTGATGTAATAGGGTTTATGTATAAAGTCAGAAAATTTTCATGTTATATTTGTAATAAAACCGATTTGTAATAAATAATATGGATAAATTACTTATATAAAGGAGTGGTATTCCAATTGCTTGTAACAAAAATCAAAAAACCTTGTAATAACAAAATTAAAAATGTCTTCACAAACAAACAGACCAGGAGAAAATCTAAATCAATTGCCTAAAGTAAATAAATTAATCAAATATTTTGTTAAATAAAATTCATCAAAATTAATTGATTCTCATTTTAAAATCATATAGAAAAGAAAGATATTGACTAAAATACAAAAAAGAGAACTATGTGAAAAAAAAAGAGATAATCCAAATATTAAAGGCATTGACTTGGCCCAAGAATATGGGATATCTGTACAATCTGTTTCAGATATATTGAGACAGTCTTCTCAATGGTTAAATTATGACGAAAGTTCCCCAAGTAATGTTAATCTGTATAGAAATAAAAAATCTGATTACCCTGATGTTGAAGAAGCAATGAGAATATGGGTTGACCAACTTTTAGCAAGAAATTTAACATTAAGTGGTTCCATTATGCAAGAAAAAGCCATAGAGTTTGCTAGACATTTCGAAATTAATAACTTCAATGCTTCTTTAGGATGGCTAAAAAAATTTAAAAATAGAAATAATTTGCATAGTTTTAAAAAGAGGGGTGAATCATTGAGTGCTCCTATCAATGAAATTTCTAGCATGCAAAACGAACTTCAAGAAGTCCTACAAGAATATGACCCAGAAGATATATGGAATTGTGACGAAACTGCAATATACTGGAGACTAGAGCCTAATAAAACAATTGCCCATGCACCAACCTTAGGAAAAAAAACGTCCTAAAGATCATATAACTGCTATGCTTACTTGCAGTTTGACTGGAGAAAAGCTACCTGTGCTTTTTATCCATAAATACGAAAACCCATGACCTTTGAGAGGCATTTCCAAAAATACACTTCCAGTATGGTATTACTGGAATGCTAAAGCATGGATGCAAAGAAGCATTTTTAAACATTATTTAGAAAGATTCAATAGTATAATGATTCAAAAGAATAGAAACATAATCTTGCTCTTGGATAATGCAAGTTCTCATAATACTGAAAATATACCATCTTTATCTAATATATGAGTTCATTTTTTCCCTCCTAATACTACATCTATCCTGCAACCTCTAGATCAGGGAATAATCTATAGTTTAAAGGTAATTAACAAAATTTTATTAATAGTTCTATCTAATACATTAATTTAAAATTTTTTATCTTTGCAGTCAAAATACAGAAAAATCCTTTGTCAAAATAGAATTAAGGCCTACCAAGAATCAGAGAATGATCAAGTACCAGATATAAATATTTTCGATGCTATTAATTTCATATCTAATGCTTGGAATCAAGTAACAGTTGAAACAATTAAAAGTAGCTGGAATAAAACTAAAATTATTAATTATAATAGTTCAGTAGCTGAAGATTCAAATCAAGAATCGGAAATAAATGAAATAAATGATTTAATCAATGAACTCCCCTTTACAGATCATCTAAATGCTGATGAATTTATCACCATTGATCAAAATCTTGTTGTTCAAGAAGAAATGACAGATGATGAGATTGTGAAAATTGTAAAACAGCGATCAGAGAATGAAGATGACAATGAAACAGACGAACCTGAACCAATAGTTACTGATACAGAAGCCATAAAAGGTTTGGAAGTGACACTTAAATATGTTCAACAAAAAAATTTAGAAATTGATTTTCAAATAATTAAAAGTGTCAATAAATTGAAAAGGGAAATTTCTCGTAAAAGTTTTCAAGAAAAAGTACAAACAAGGATGGAGGATTATTTTATGAATGAATAAATTATTTATTATTATTACTTATTATTGTTACCATGTATATTTTATTTGTCGTATGTATTATTCATTATTTATTTTATTGTGATAAATAAATATTAGTATTATTGTACAACATATCATGTGATTGTTTCATCATATCTCGGTTTTGCGGATAATTTTTTTGGAACGAACTTATCCGCTAAACTGAGATACACTGTGTATATAAGGTAGATAAAAATTTATCACAAAAAAATATGAATGATTAAGAACAAGCAACATATATGAAATATGAATATAAAAAACTGCTATATAAATAAAAATGTTTTCCATTCATTTACTAATTCGATCCTCCTTCTTTTCAGTTTATTTCTTTTGTTCCAACTTTAAGATCAAAATTACAACCTTCATAGAAAATAAATTATTATTATTAAAGTTAGCTTATTTCACTATTTTTATTATAAGAAAAGCATATATATATCTTTTTTTTTTAAAGAAACTAAAAAGTTGTATATACCTTGCTCTTTCACTAAAGAAATATATAAAAGTGCAGGAAAAAGATACACACACATATTGGTGATATTTAAAGGTATTAGGACCACACTCCATGAAAATGCATAAAAGGCACAAATTACATACATAGCATATAAATTTTATTCTTCCAGAACTTTCTTATTTATATGGATCTTTACATTGGCTTTTATTTGACTATGTTATACATGATATGGTAATTAGCTAATTACCGTAAATACGTAATTCGTAATTAACGTAATTAATTACCACTTTCACT